GGATGTAGTTATAAGAGGAAAATCCCTCTCCCAAGAGTTTTAGAGCAGGCCGGAGCACGCCAAGGGGAAGGGGAGGCGTGATGGGCACAGAGGAGTTCAGAGGGATACACAGCAAGAGGGCAGAAACTGAGTGAGCACGCAGGGAACGGCCTTCGGCGGGCGGGGGGAGCGTGAGGCGGGAACCCGAGGCCCGCACCTCCGCCCCCGGATGCCTCAGAGAGGAGCTACCGAGCACGGCCATACCCAGAGCTCCTCTCGGACTTCCCGGCTGCCCGTAAATTCCCTGTCTCCTGGAAATGTAGATGGAAAGTTTAAAAGCATGCTGTTTTCCTCCACCCCTCTACAGTTCTATAGACAGAGTACTGAGAGATTTTTCAGAGTGAAATATTGAGGGAAGAAAATCACCAACAATAAACACATTCCATAGTCATTATTGTGATAATTCCATTCAAACTACCCTTGGCCTTGTTGGCTCTTAGGACAGAGCTCATGAATGGTGATACCTAGTGTGGACTCTGTCCCTTGAGCAAAAAGTCCTGCACTCACATTGGAACTGACTTCTGGTCCTATTCACTTTAGTCATGTGACCTCTCCTAAACGTCCATTTAACTTATAAAATACCTCCTTTGCCTCTTACAGGATTGCTGTGATGACAGCCATTTGATACATTCAACATTAGATGTTTATAAACATAAAAATACCAGTAAATACCTTCCAAGATAAGGAACTCTGGTTTTTATGTTATGAAGTTAATTAGGAACACTCCAACTCAAATAACCTTCAAATTGAGTTAAATAAATTATAAAAAATGGAAATAACTAAAGCCCACATTTGACAAGAATGACAAGAACCAAAAATTATCTGTGATAATTCAACAGTAAGAAGAAAGAAAAATAGCTAGTTACCCACTTACTGCAGCACTTCTGCCAGTTAATGTAGAGAGAATTTAGGACACTTACATGGATCTTTAGGGAGCTGTATGTTGGTGATAATGTGAGACATTCAGAGCCAACATTTACTGTTTGTCAATTAGAATATGGAAAGTTTAAAGAATGTGAAAATTTTTTCAACATCAGGGTTTCTTTAAATTAGTTATTTATGTGTAATACAGAATTACATGGATTTTGAAAAATGACAGTTTAAAATATTTTGGTGCAGTAAAAAGGCATTTAAGTGTTTTATGGCAAAATACCTTATAAATTCAATAGTCTATCATTTTAATTATAATTAAATATAAAGCTAAAAGTTTTATCTTTTATAAGTTTCAGTGAATTTTTTTTCTGTTTTGTAAAAAACAAATTGAGAATGTAAAGTCTTTTAACTTACAAAGCAAGTTGAGTAGGTAGCTTGAGAAAATCATCCCCTAATTTCCTGGCAGTGCAATATTTATCATTGTGTTCCATGAATGTTTATTTTTCTTATGTAGATTTACATGTGCAAAATAGTTTATTTATGGTATCAATAGTCTCTTACCATTCCATATTTGCACTGAAATTTAAAACAATCCACTTTTATTAAACACCTAACTAAATTTATAATTCTTGAAACAAACTTTTCAGAGAAATGTCTGATTTTAAAAAATTCATATTAAATCTTCTTGCTATTGTACTTTGAGTTGTTCATTAAGAAAAAATTTATCAAAATACGTTGTCTGAAACCTGTGCTAAATGAGGATATAATTAGATAAAGGAGAAAAGCATGTGGTCTCAAAACTGTGTTACCAGAGTTACATAATCTCCTAGATAGGAAAAAAAATTTGCCAGATTGCTAGATTGAAGCTCACATAGTCCAAAAGATACTTTATTATGGATTACAGTACAAGCCATTAGATAGAGTGTGGAAGTAGCATTAGAGTGCTTGCTTTATTTAGATTTATACTGCCAGGGCCTACATTTCATCACTCCTCTCTCTTAGCTAGAGTAGTATAATATAATGCTTGACAAATGATAGGACATTTGAGATTTTTTTTTCTCACTTCGAAAATAAATACCCATATTTTAGTAACACCAAAATTTACTTAACATCCCTTCTCAGGAAAGTGAGTCAGTTTCTTAGTGTCACAGTTGCTAATGAACCTGCTTTCTGTCTATGGGAATACTGATGATGGGGGAAGAAATGTAATGAATTAGAATCATAAGAGCAATCAGCATTAGTGTACAAAACTTATATGGAGACCCAAATACCCAATGTGACTGTCTCTGATAGCATGAAAATCCAGTTTCTAACAGTGACTGAATTTGCTTTTTCCTCGAAGGTCCATGCACAGCCATTATTCATTGGAATATGCTAAAAAAGTTCATAAAGTAATCCAGCCTCCCCTTGATAAACAGACATACACAGAAGTTGAGAGCTGGTTTACCACCCCACCTCCCTGTCTCAATAAGATGGAGATGCAAATTTTTTTACTACTTATTTCCTGTTTTAGTTAAAATAACTAATTCATAAAATTTGGTGCAATGGCTTTATCTTGAGAAACAATCCTCTCTTAGGTATATAAAAATCCATATATATTTTACTTTTGTAATTCATAATAATACAGCTTATCATTTCTAGGCACAAGGCTTAGCACTTTGGTGGCCTAAACATGGATAGTCTGTAGGAATAGTGACCAGTGAGTAAAGTTAAATGGGAATTGGAAATTGGAAGGTTTCTAGGACATTATTACCAGAAAAGATACATTAAAATAAAGAAAATGGAGTTCAATGTATTTATCAGTAATGTAAATCCAGAGTTTATATCTCTGCATTATTTTTATGCAAGAGCTTTGTGATATATTAAATTTATTTTGGATTCTGACATGAAGATAAATTTCCAAAAATGTTCTCCTTTTACTTTTAGTATCTGTGTCCAGCAGAGTCACACAAAGGAGAACTACAAAATATATCAGTTATTAATACCAGTTATTAAGCAACAACTGCTAGAGCCAATTGTGACTGAAGCAGCATAGGGACGAAGATTCCATTTAGGTCATCTGTGGCTATTGTTGCTGTTGTTTAAAGGCAGATGGAGGGATTTTAGTGTGAAAGCTGAAAATTTCTGTGTTTGAGAAGAGAAGTGGTCAGAGATCGTAGATTATATTCACATACTTAAAGATAATTATTTGGCCAAGGGAACAGGATAATGGAGAGAAGTTCTATAGAGTCAACTGTGGTTCAGTGTGTGGAATGATTTCCTAAATGGTTTCAGCAGTGAAAAGGATCACTCAGTGAATGCTGAGTTTCCCTCATTGGAAAGATTTATTTGTTGTATACATAAATATAATATATGATGTAATATTACGTAAATAAAAAGCAGATAAACCTTTAGCATATATATTTATTCCCAATATATAATTCCTATATATTTTCTTGCATTAAATAGTAAATAGAAATAGATGTTTTCTAACTCCCAGATATGTTTATAGCAGACACAGCCTTTTTCCAAATATTTGGATACAGCAAAAGAAAAACCCTTCTTACTGAGTTTTTAGCTTTCTATGTTTTTTGTCTATCTCTTCCACAGTATCTATAAAAAATAGGTACACTGTAAGTAGCAACTTAGACTGGTCACATGGACAGTATGATATTGCAATTCAAAACAAAAAAACAAATAGATTTGGGGGGATCTTTTCTTTTTTCCTTTAATCAAAGATTCTCACAATATCAACCTCTTTTGAAACACATATTATCTGTAATTACAAATGCATTACTAATAAAAGGATGCACAACTGTTTGCTCTATCTTTCCCTGATATTTTTGCATGTCACTTGCTTTCCTAAAATGGAAGCAAAACAAATTTGCTTCTCTGGTTATGCTTATCACCTTCAAAGCTGTAACCATTTCTTTGCAGTGATAACTCTATTAGGTGGTAAGTCCAACTGTGGAAACTGTCAGTTTAACCTGAGTGAAATTTTCACATTGGAAAGAATCTCATGAGGAATTCTTAAAGGTTACAGCCAAATTAGAAGATGTAATTTGAGGAGTAAGTGGAGCAAAATTATAGTGTGCTGCTATTTTAATGCCTTTCCTCGTATGTGCCCCCTCAATATCCCTTATTATTCTAGGCTGTCTCCCCATAAGAATGACCTATCTCTCTTTCTGACTTTTCAATACAAACACGTGAGTAACCAACCATGGTCAAAGGGAGAGGTTTACTTTCTTGCTTTGCTTTTCTCCATTTTGTCCTTCCCGGTGTTCCCTCCACCCCCAGCTTCCTGGTTTTGAGTTTTGGAATGATAGCTGGCAACAGCAGAGAGAGAGCACTGTAATTTCACCTTGAATTCCAGGTTTCTTTTGGTTTACAGTCTCAGAAGAAACGTAAGCTCTTCTAAGTCATGCTGCTTGTTCATTTTATGTTAAGACATCCTGTTTTGAAAGAGCACTTCTTACCATTATAAAGTAGCCATGTTTATAAGAATAAGACAAGGCTTCCTATTTAGAAACATGCTCCTCTGATGGGAGTCAATGAAATTGAGCCAGCATATCCCAAAACATTCATTCATGAACTGGCATTCCACTTCTGGCAATTTATTCATATTTATAAGTAAGAGTAAATGTGTTTTGTCAAAGAAACCCTTTCATTTGAGGTTGCTGGCAGTTCAGCTTTTCTTTCTTTCTTTCTTTCTTTTTTATTCCAAATATGGTATATAAAAGAATAAAAAAGAGACCAATTTGCATGTTTCCCATATTAACACAATATAGAATAATTTACAATACAAATCAGGAGTCTACTAGATGAATGTAAATTAGACCTTTTAAATCAGAAACTAATCACTGAATTATAAATGCAAAGTAATATTATCATACATTAGATAGCATTGAGTGGCATTGTTGGTTCAGTTGCACAGCAGAAAGGGCCTTGACTTTCTTGTGTTGTCCCACCTAATCAACCGTAACACGGGCTTCTTATCCAGTTGGCTAAGGGTCAGACCATTGCTCTATGGCATGGGTAGCCAAGTGTTTTCATTTGTTTGCTCTTCTATTCCTGTCTTCTTGTTTATTTTCATTTCATTTTGTTTTCAGTTGACATGTGGTCAGTAGGGTGCATCATGGGAGAAATGATAAAAGGTGCAGTGCTCTTTCCTGGCACTGATCGTATCCTTCTTAGCAGCCAGTGGTCTCTGTGGGTGTCATTCTCAGTCAATTCGCTTTGGTCTTGGGTGCAATACTGCTTAGGGTATATATTCACTGTGCTTGGAGGAGTTCTGTGAGACTCCAGTGTCCGATGTTTACCAGCGGGCATCATGGTAGAGTAACTGTGCCTTTTAGCAAGATCTTACATGGATAATACTGTATCAAATATCAAACATTCAGCAAGATGTCAGAAGGTCTGCCATAATTCAGTTCTGTGAAACTAATAACAGTGATATACTCTTTATTGTTTTTGTTACAGATGTTTTAAAATTGAGTTGGATTCATAGATAGATAATAAATGACAAAATAAGTCTAAAGACTGAAAATTTATGCTTTTATATCATAAGAAGTATTCATTTGGCATGGAAATCTTTAGTTAGATTTATGTTCAGTCACAAGTAAAAATAGGTTTATTTTAATACACAGCATGCATATAAATTTCATTCTAAAATTGATAACCTTCTAAAATTCTTTTTTCTCATTCATTTCATTTCTAAGAATAGTAATTTTAATTCCTGCTGTTATTTTCTCCATATTGTTAACAAGTGCAATAAGTAAAATCTCATTAGTTACTAATGATTATAAAAATACCTGAAAAAACAAATTTTATCACTTGGGTAAGTAACGGTGATTCTCTCTTAGGCCACTAATCATTAGCAAGTAAAGATATTCAGAGACTCTGTAGTGTTAAATAGATATTGATAGTGTGTGATTAGAATGTGGGTATAAGTAAACCTAATTTCTAATACCTAATTTCTAACATATTATGATTAGCTATTTGCTTTGGGGATTCATATATACAAATATGGTAATAGATGATAATAAGAGCCAGTTTAGGAAATGATTGAGTAGGCACTCAATTAATTTTTGTTGAATGAAAGAACTTAGCCTAAAATGTTTTATTTAGTTAAAAATAGAGCTACACTGATTTTATTTCTATTCTTATTAAAATGTTTTTTATCTTATTTTAGTTTAGTTTTAAAAATGATACATATTTATTTTAAAAAATTTTCTGTCTCCATTGCAGTTTGTCTTGTATGCATACATCTTATTAAATAACATCTATAAATTTACCACATTCATGTTTATGTTGATGCTATTCACAAGTATGTTGGCTTGGTAAAATCTTAATCCCTTCAGATTTTTATAAAAACAGTATTTCTTTGATTCCCAATGAATTATAAAGTTGAGTTGGCCTTTGGACATGAACATGAAACAATTCTTAAGTTTTGGCTAATTTTAGACATTTGATGAAAATAGACTCAATCTGTTAACTTTGTACACTTTGTTCTTTTCAGAAGTTCATTGTGGTTGAATAATTGGTGACTGCAAAGAGTATTTGAACCACCTGTAAATTAAAATGATTGATTTTTATTACTTTGCTTAGACTTTCTGTTAAAGAAAATCAAATTAGATTTCCACAACTGAGTTATTAAATACAGATTAACATTTCTTAGAGTCCATTTATTGGAAGAAGTTGATTGGGTATCATCTCCTAACTTGAGTATCAAAATCCCTTACAAGTAAAGCTTTAGGCTGCTATTAATGTTTAGATGCCCTTTTAGTGCCTGAGCATGATGTTTTTATAGCAAACTATTTCTGGAGCTCTCAGATAGGGATATACTTTCAAATTTCCTGAAAGGAAATAGGATTATTTTCTAAAGTGTCTTCTTTGAGTATAGGATGTGGTCTTTTAATGATTTCAAACATGTTGGTTCAAGTTTAAATCTTTTTTATGCAAACAAATTATGAACACTGAGTATCACAATGTTAAACTCTAAAAATGTAAAACAGATTATTTATTTTTAAAATTCCCTATTATTAGAAATGACTAATCTGAAGAGGCAATAAAATTGTATATAAATATATTAAAATCATATCAAAATTATATGTAAATAGAACCTTTAAAATAGAGGTGGAGAAATACAATGTATATACTACACATCATATAATACATCATAAGGAGTTATATTATTTTTAATCAGATAGTCTCATATAAATGAAGACATTGTCAAAATAAATGATTGATAAAAGTCCTTGCAATATGTGCTATGCATATCTTCTTAATATATAAATCAACTCAACAGTAAATCTTAATATATTAATAAAGTCTTGTTCCTTTATCTTTTATGCCTGAAGAACTTCAACATATTAGTTTTAGCATTGAGAGATTTAGATAGCCAAAAAAGTTCTTAATTACATATTTATTTGCTACTTTATTAGTAGATATATGTTTAAGTACATATTAAATAAATTTTATTCAAATCAAATGTTTTAAACTCTCTACAGAAGAATCAGAATTCAGCTATTGAGATACTTTTTTTGTGAGAGATCCTTATAAATTTCATCATAGCAGATATTTTTACTTTAAAAGTTATAGAATATTTTATATTGTAAAAGTAAATTAATATTAAATATATAGCTTTTGGAGAGGACCAATAAAATGAACGCATCTATACTACCATTCAGGTTAGAAAATAGGATGTTACCTTATCTTTAAATATTCTGTGTTCCTACCCAGTTTATCCTCCCTTCTCCCTAGAGGTCCCCATAGTCCTAAATACAGGTTTTTATAATCTTCCTGACTTTCTTTACATTTTTACCATATGCATACTTACTCCCAATGAAACCTGTGGTTTAGTTTTCTGTGTTTTATGTTGTACTATCATTATTTTGACTTACTTTTTTAAAAATAAATGTTAAATTTTTTAGATTTATCCATGTTTATGCATTAGAAATGGCCATTCATTTTCATTGCTGTATAGTATTCCATTCTATGAATACACTGCAATGAATCCATTCTCCTATTGTAATATATTCACCTTTTGTTTTTGCTTTTACTTTATAAACAGTGATGATTTGAATTTATGTCCCCAAAAACACATGGGCAGGATTTTCTTTTTGATAAATGCCTGAGCTCATAGCAGCATACACTACACTTTAAATTTGGTTATGTAGTATCAGCTCGATTGCTAGAGTAGCAGTATATAAATGTAATTGTCTATTCCACATCCTCAGCAACTCTTGGTATTATCAGATTTGTTTTAAAAATTGTTACCAGTCTCTCGAATACAAAATACTTTTTTCATTTGAGCTTTAATTATATTTTCTTAACCATAAGAGAGGCTAAGGCCTCTCTTTTCCTGTATTTATTGGCCATTACTATTTTTTTCCTTGGTAAAATGTCTTTTGTTTCCTAAAACAACTTTTTTCTATTGTATTTCTAAAAATTGATGAGTAGGAGTTCTTTATATACACTGACACCTAATCTTTGTCAGTCTTGTGTTGCAAATATCTTCTCTCCATATTTAGATTATTTTAACATTTTATTTTATAGTGTTATTTGAATTTTGCAATCTGTATTTCTTTAATGGTTCTTGTATTTTTATTTATTATTTAAGAATCCCTTATGCCTTTATATTCCCTTGTAAGTTTATTGTGGATGTTTTAAAGTTTAATCTTTTACATTTAATTTAAGCCTTTAGTTTACTTGGAATTGACTTTTGTGTGCAGTGTGAAAGAGGGATCCAATTTACTTTACAGTTTGATTATTGAATGGCTTATTATTTCTTCACTGATCTATAATGCTGTCCCTGTCATAAGTAAGTTTCCACATATTAGAGGAAGGTGTATTAGACTCTGGGCTCTATATTCTGTTCCACTTGTCTGTATGTCTGTTTCTATACCACTACCACTCTTAATGAATACAAATGCGTGCTATGCACTTACGTCAAGTAGGGTAAATAATCTGCCTTTTTTGTCTTCTTCAGAAGTACCTTAGCTGTTAATGAACCATTGTTCTTCCATAAACATTTAGAATTGGATTGCTAACTTCTATAAAAAGCTCCCTATTGGGATTTATATTGGAATTGTATTGAATCTATAGTGGAGAATTGCTTTTTTATTTTTCCTGAACACCCAAGGATCTTAGCACACACTAATTTAGATCATTTCTACCTATACCAACTAAAATTTGCTATTTATGCCCAGCATTTTGTTCTCTGGTTTTTAGCCTCATAAATTGACAACATTATAATTTTATAGCATAGATGTAGAGTTTATTTAGATTCACCATTATGATTATTATTTTCTTGGCTTACCACTCCTTCTTGAAATTTGGTCCCTTATTTGAGAATATTTTCTTTCTTCCTAAAGCACATCCTTAGAAGTTCTTTAGTGGAAGACTTTGATGATTAAATTCTGTTTTTGATTAGCATTCCATTACTTGATTTTGTTGAACATATAATTTTAGAGTTACGCTATTTTCTTCCAGAATTTTAAAGGTGGTATTCCACTGACATTTTGTTTCTAATATTGCTGGTGAATAATTAGCTGTTAGTGTAATAGTCATCTTTAAATATCGTCTGTCCCTTTTCTTTGCTTTCACTTAGGGTTTATTTTCTTGGTCTTTGGTTATCTGCTGTTTCTCTACCATATGACTAGTATGGATTTTTTTAAATTATCCTCCTTGGGATTCACTGTGTTTCTTGAATTCCAACTTATCTCCAATTCCTGGAATTTCTCAGTTTTTGTTTCTTTGAATATTTTCTTTCCCCTATTCTTTACATTATCTCCATGAAAAAACTCTGACTTGACATAAAGTAGACATACATTTATTCAACATTTTTTGAGCACCTACTACATGCTGGGCAATTTTTTTCTCCAGGGATATATCAGTAAACAAAACTGACTAAACTCCTGTCATTATGAAACTTATAATAAAAGGCACAGTATATTAAAATGTGATAATGGCTAGGAGGATCAAAATGCTAGGATGGGGAACAGAGATTGTTTCTTTCTTTTCTAAGATTAAAGACAAAAAGTTTTGCCAAGTATGCCTCATATGGCATGTTTTCTTGACCTCACATAAAATTGACAGTCCCTTCTAAACATCTTTTTTATATAGTGCTTTGCCTGGAAATGGACATAATCTTCCAGAGACGGTCTCACAGAAGAGTATG